CTTTGATGCGAATTCCTATACAAGAACTGTCCAGGGTCCTGAATCCTGTTACCGTAACTTTCTTGGCGATGTTTAGTGAATTATGTAAAAAAAAACGTGCAGTTTAAAAACATCACGGATCTACACTTGTCGAATATAAACGTTTAAATAGTGAGAGATGCTCGCAAAATGAGATTATTGCTCATCGAAGACCAAAACTTTGCGGCGACTTTGCTTGACTTTATTTTGTTAGTGCCTGCAGATTTAGGAAATTGTTGTTTGCAATGATAAACAGGTTTTGCATAATCAGCCTTCTATTTTTTTAAATAAAATATCAATATTAAATAGGCTCGTCCTTTTCGAATGCATTTCAAAGAAAAAATATTATTAACTGATAATAAAAATAGCATAGTTTTATTCTAAATGATTCCGCAGAATCGTGTATTATAAAACCGCGAACTATCTGCTTTTAAAAAAGCAGGCTGTTTTTCACTTGCCAGATATAGCCCAGCACAATGCCTCCTGAACATTTAACACACAATCGCCTCTGTAAAAGACCCGTTTAAATAATGTTTGCGGAAAAGTTTATTTTTTTAGATTTTTCCTAAAAAAAAGAACAATACGGTACAGGAAAGTTCGGGGTTGGGAATGGACAGTCGGGCAGTGTTAATTTGTCAGATTTTATGTGTGTATTAAAACAGATGTTTCGGCCCAGAACAAGGTCATGAAAGACTAAAAGTTCAGACAAACCACAAACCATGGATGATACGGGCACCGATATGACATGCACATAGAAAGGAAACATAAACCAATCGAGTGCACAAGATTGCAGCGCGGGTGAAATTTGTTGCAAGGTAAATTCTGTTTTTCACCGAATTGTTCGTACAATAATACTTCGATGTTTCATTGTACTTGTAAAATGTAGTTACTCGTTTAGTTTATGTAAGTCATGCCAAAAAAGTAATCTACTGTATTCTCAAATTATGTACGCGGGTCACCTGTAACTAAAAATAAGAAATTATTAATGATAAATTAATTTATATAAACATAAATATAAAGAATAATCAAATGATAGATCCTGCAACTTCAACTCATTTTTTAGTTGGGAGTGTTTAAATTCAGTTGTAAGCTGTTAAGGTCAGTCTATTTCTGCAGTTATTTTTGTGTACAAATATGGAAGGGTTTCAGGAGAGAAAGAAAAAGAGATGCCTATGAATGTCTCCCGCATGCAAAAGAAACAAGATCTCCAGCCGTTTTGAAATGAACTTTCTATTCTGCCATCATCGCCTCCTGGAAATAATTTTTAAGAAGTTAACTGCTCGGTGTTTACGTTTCTGACTGCACTGATGAAAGGTGTTTCACTAAAAGACTCAGCAGATTATTTTAACATATTAAAATCTGTGCACAAAACGCGTTCTTGGTCATTCTTTTACTTAATACGCTCTATTTATCCTCCTCTATTTGAATAGAAACCGAAACTCTTCGTACAGTATCTCATTTATACCTGGCTGTAGTCCTTCTTCATGCTGTATACAGGTATATACCATTTACACATACAGTACACGTACTACAGTTTTCAACATTTTGGAGATGGTGTGACAGGCAATGAGAGGGATGTACAGTAGGAACAAAAGAGGAAGAAAAAATCCATACTTAACCAAACACTTGAGTGCACAACTCAGGTAATCACAGCTTCCAAAAAAAAATACCTTTTGCCACTTCTGTCACTGTGACAGTGCCGGTAGTTGGTTCCCACACGAATCCTCACTCAGGGCATCTTAAACTAATATTTGCCTTTTATTTAGCAAAATAAGATATTGTGCAGCTACTGTGTTAATTAAACGTGTTAGGTGAGAATATATTTATATATATTTCAATAATTAACTGAATTTGCGCACAAAAACTAAAATTATAATCACTGTTTCTCGAAAAGTATCATCACTTACGGTAGGTTACTCATTGTTATTTACTTGAAACAGGCTAAATGTGAAGTTCTGGTCAATGAAGAGGTGTAGATATGAACTCTAATTATATTAAAATAAAACAGAACATGTGCAAAATGTACTAGATGAAGGCTTTTGTTTTCGTCTGCTAGGCGAGCATGTTTAGAAAGGAAATAATGTGTTTGAAAATCAGAAGGGACTGCCTTTAGACCGCGTTCTGCACTAGTAGCCGGCAGCAGTGGCTAACGCCTCATTTCCCCGTTCAATTTATTCTGCTTTAGCTGTTGGCATAGACTGCAAGAACAGGTCCTTTGCATATAGAGCGTTTCATGAATCACTTCCTCTGCCGGGTCTATGAATTCAGTTGTATGCGAGTTAGTTTTCGGATTGTGAAGAACAGTGCCCTTTCGCCAGCTCCTGACCTCATTCTGTCGGTTGTCAGAAACTATTCTTTGTCTGCTCTTAAATTCTGAAACACAGGAAAATGTTCGCAAAATAGGAGCGTGAAAAGTCACTATCGTATCCTTTAATTAAAGTCACAGTGTACACAAAAAATCCTAAAAAGGCGTCTTTCCATGTCGACTCCAAAAAGTGACTGTAAGTTATTATTATTATTATTATTATTATTATTATTATTATTATTATTATTATTATTATTATTATTAAATAGCTAATGGTTGTCACTTCCGACTGATAAATTCCCTGCCAAGGCCTAATCGAGTCCAAATTAACGATGGACTTCGATAAACATAAAGTTAAATAGGTTGTACCTAATGTGAGTACCTATTAAGAGTTTTTTTTTTACTTTCTGATAAAACAGAAATATCAAGTGAGATTTATGCTCCTTGTTTTCTGAAATTGTAAAAGCTTCTAATTTTTTTTAGCAAAAACAAAGAAAAACGATTTCAGTTTAACATGACTTCGAAATACTTGCTGACGATTACGTGGGGTTTAATAAAACGGATCCCATTGAAGCGAAAGCCTTTAGTACTTCTCTCAAGAATTTCGAAGTATGGTTATGAAATTTACAACAATTACCGGTTGGATTAAATCTTTATGTAAAACCTATTGATACTTTCAAAATATGTAATGCTGTTAGTTCTGGACTGTTTCTACTCATCACTTTCTTGATGTGGTTATTGTCTGTTATGATCAATAAATAATGTTACCCTAGTATCGTTTGAAAGTAACGGGCAGACCGTTTCAAATGATCAACTTAAAATAAAATAAAATTCCGTTTAAAACCTTATGTTTTTACTTACTACTTTAAATTTATTAGTATCATATACTACTTTTCTGTTATTCCTGTAGTTTGTGACGTTTTTACAACCTAATTGCACTTGGACTTACATTTTATCTACCGTTGCTTCCAATTTATATATTATATATTAAGCAATCGTATAAGATGAATGTCATAAAAACATTTTTGCAAATTCTGAATCGGCTGTCGAATAAGCAGAAAAACACAGAGGAGAACACGAACTCTGCTGCCTATCTATGCAGCATGAGAGGTGAAATCCCTCCTCAGAGCAGCTCTCCCATTGTTAGGTGATTTTTTGACCTCCTGGGAAAACTGCGCTTGTTTTTCCCGGGTGTTGTGTGTGTGTGGGTTGCTACTGCTGTTTCCCGAAATGCTGCTGGTTCCATTTCAGAGGTCACACGAGGACTAATGAGGCGTGAAACCTCTCAGTACCTTTCTCACATTTACAGCTCCACGGGGTAACACGACAAGCGAGCCTGGAAAGCAAATAAACCTCGCATGCGTTCCTGGAGACCACGCGGGCTCTCTTAGAACTGACGTAAGAATTAACCTGCTAAGAGCAGACGTACACCAATGATGTATATACACAGTCAGCAATGTATACAATTTAAACTTTATTTGTATTTATCGAATGGCATTCAGTTGCATTAAATTTCAGAATTCTGCAAATCTACAAATATCTTTCTAATATGTACTCAAGACACGTACGTAGTTTTATTTGATTTAATTAAAATATTGTGAGTGGGATTACTCTAAAGTCAGCTGCTGGTATTGTAGATAATTAGTTAGACTGTCCGGTAATATGCATCATCGCTATAATATATACGACACTCTTTCTAGAACCGACGTACAGTTCCCCGACGTACAGTACAGACCGTCTCCTCTGCGCTGTCACTGTAGCTGTACTGTACTGTAGCATACTGTAGCTCTTTCACGGCAGGGCTCTGCAGCAGTTGTGTGTAAATCACGCTTTTGGAAGGCACTGTGCAATCGCGGTAGTTTGATTTACAAGTACAACAATATACAAGTATTTTGTGCAGTAGGTATCGCGTGCTCATCACTTTCTTGATAGTACGATAGCACGTCTTCCAGGACAAAAACATTCTTCATTTGTAAAATGACGACTATTGAACAATCGCAGATGCAACTAAACAGCGAGACCCTTAAGGATGCTTGGACTGTGCAATGCAGGACTTGTAATCCTGCACCTGTTTCTCTCGGGGGATGGGGAGGTTGAGGAGCGCATTCTGGATAATTGCTATTTTGTGACTCTTCTAGAGGACTTTAATGTTGACAACACTAAACACTACCATTGGTGGCTGCATTGCATTTTCTTGTGAGAAATCGCCGTCTTAGACACGCTTACTGCTTAGACACTGTGAGCAGTATAGTTTGAATGCAGGCATCCCCGAAAAAGTGTGGAAAAGTGTTGTGTTGTCAGAATGTGCACATGTAAAAAACTGCAAGAAACTGCATTAAGTAAATCCGATATAACACAGGTAGCAATCTCACGGCCAGGGACTTGTTTTCCCCACACACATTAAATTATTTCTGATTATTGTATAGAAACAAATGAAGAGAAACTTGTTCGCGTAAATCTAGATATAGAAAAGTCTGTTTTGCCTTAGCGGTGTCCATGAATAGCAGTGCGTGTTTCTTCTGACCTCTCCTTACCACGATTATACAATTCTGTGAACCAATCAGCTTGTACATTCCTCTGCCTTCCTCTTGAATAAAGTTACTAAAGAAGTATGTAACGCCTGCTCTTCGAGATAAAGCAGGGCACAAGAGGTCAGCCCTAACCGGAGTATAATCCCGAAACTTAATTATTTTACTTTTTGTGAAAATCAAGGATGCTTAGTTTTTATATTTAAGTGTACAACAGTTGCCAGGGCTCACTAAACAACGGTTACTGTATGTTTTACTTAAAAGTACTTTTATTTTTCACGAAGTCGAGATGTTTCGACTGCTGTACTTCAAGAAAATCATGGGCAGAAGCTTTGGATATCAAATGATTTTCATTAAAATGTTTCACCACGTTGTTTAATTGTAAAACGTTAGTATTTTGAACGATATTTTGCGTAAAAAGTATCAAATCACGTAAAACTTTTTAAGTCTATTAAAACCCTGATACAAAAAATGCAATAAAGAACGACAAACGTGCTGTGGTCCTTTAGACCAACAAGTCTATGGAATCACCATTTTAAGAAAAGTTAAAGGAAAGATTTATTTGCACATCGCTGTGACAAAAACCGCTGGCTCTGCTGGTCCGGGGCGTGTTTTTCTGTGGCGTGGGTGTTCCTAGCGGGAGGTAGGCGGAGACGTTCCCTGGAGCCCAGATTAGGCTCTAATGTTGCGTGGGAAAGAAGTTCAGAGGGTTTCGCAAAGTAACCAGTGTAGTGTTTACCAGACTGCGGCAGACAGCTTTGCTCGAACATTTGAACCGCCTCGCAGACTTCAAGCGCTGCACTGCAACAATGAAGAGACCCTGTGAGGACACTACTTCTGACAGCGACATGGATGAAACTATTGATGTCGGGAGTGAAAACAATTTTTCTGGGTATGTAAAAGGCACTCTATTAATCTATCACAGACTCGCCAAAAGTGCGTATTTTCACAATTATTTGCGTATCCAAAAACACGCTGGGGCATCTTAAAAAAACGCACTTGTCAAGTGCGAAACCTTTCGGGACGCTCCATCGCACGCCTGTCAGCTGAATTTTCATGAGGCGCTCAACTTGTGGTGTTCGGTCCAACCTCATATTTCCCCTGGCCTCACTGCATCGCTCAGCAACATGAAAGACGACGACTCGGCGAAAATCCGATAAATTCGTTAAAAGGGAAAGTGTACGAACAGTCATTCATTAAAATTCGTGAACATGGGATTTTTTTTTTTTAGATCGTACAGTTTCTCATATCTCACAAAGCAGCCTTTTTATGCTTGAAGCAAAACGGCAATACTTTTTTTTGTGCTGTCTCTAAAATAAAATTACGGATTAAATGATTCTTGCGAAGTTCTGTAACTTATTTATCCCATCTGTTTCTGCAGACAGAGCGGCAGCCCGCTCATCAGATCCAGCTCCCCAACGACAACGTCTCAAGTCATGGCGAGGAAAAAAAGAAGAGGGGTCAGTATTATCGTTACTGACGCGGCTGCGTTAAAGAGAAAGTAAGAATTTTGCGAACTCAGCAAAGATGCCGATTTATTTTATATGTTACAGATCATCGAGAAGAGACGGAGGGATCGTATCAATAATAGCTTGTCGGAATTACGTCGATTAGTTCCCACAGCATTTGAAAAACAGGTAAGTTTTTGATACGCCTGTGGAACGTCTGCACGTTGATTAGACAGATGTGATACCCTGCAGAACACACCTTCAAGAAAAACAACACGACAGGCTTTCGGTCACTGCGGTGACAGTCTTGACGTCGTTATTGTGGTTAATACTCAAAATGGGATGTGGTCTTTCAAATGCCTCTTTATTGTATATAATTTATATCTTGTCCGTACAGTAGATATTTGTCAAAGGCATTTCTATAGAATACCGATATTATTTGATGGACCAAGTGACACGACTAGTTGTAATAACCTCCACCCTTAAAGAGATAAAAAGTATTATTTTTATTTACTTCCTCAGGGATCTGCCAAACTAGAAAAAGCGGAAATATTACAGATGACAGTGGATCATCTGAAGATGCTCCAGGCAACAGGAGGTAAAGGTAAGAAGTTAATTGACTGCTTTTCTCTTGCTGCGGAGTGAAATTTGAGCAAACAGTCCTTTGACGAGATTAAAGGAGTGGAAATCAATGCTAATGGCAGGACTGAACTCGTGGGAAAGCGCTGTCGGGACAAAAGCAGCACTTGACCCTGGGCTTGTGTTTGCTTTCATAACTCTGTGGGAGTAGAGGAGGTTTCATTCACAGGCAGCCCGGTCGGGGAGTTGTTTGGGGTTTCTAGAGAGAGGGTGTAGAAACCGGTGCGCAAAGAAGACAAAACAAACACACGAACCCTGGGACATCAACTGGGCTCAGATAATACATGATATCAGGGTTCATACTTAGTAAACAGACTGCTCAGTTTGTGCTGTATACATGGCATCAGATGATTAGTTATTTTTCTGACCGCCAAAGTTATGCCCGTGATAGGAGTACAGCTCTCGGCATTAAGACTTTTTTGCCTCTTTCGCGAATGCAGGTTTTTTTGACGCCCACTCGCTGGCGATGGACTTCATGAGCATTGGGTTTAGAGAATGCCTGACTGAGGTGGCCAGGTACCTCAGCTCGGTGGAAGGTCTGGACACCGCCGACCCCCTCAGAGTCCGCCTCGTCTCCCACCTCAGCACCTGTGCCTCCCAGCGTGAAGCGGCCGCAATGACGTCCTCCATGGCCCACCACCACCACCCCCTGCACCCCCACCACTGGACGGCTGCCTTCCACCACCTCCCGGCGGCGCTCCTGCAGCAGAACGGACTTCCTTCCTCGGAAAGCGCCGGCGGCCGATTGTCGGAAGCGCCTCCGCACGGGTCTGCGCTGCTGACGGCCACGTTCTCCCACACGGACTCGGCGCTCAGGGCGCCGCCTGCTGGCAGCGTCGCGCCCTGCGTCCCCCCCCTCTCCACCTCCCTCCTGTCGCTCTCGGCCACCGTGCACGCCGCCGCGGCCGCCGCCGCCTCGGCCGCCGCGCAGACTTTCCCGCTGTCCTTCGCCGGGGGCTTCCCGGTCCTCACGCCGGGCGCGGCGGCCGCCTCCGTCGCCGTCCCCGCAGTCAGCCCGTCGCTCTCCGCCTCCCCCGCTTCGGCCTCGCAACAGAGCAGCTCCGGGGGCAGCACCGGCAAGCCTTACCGGCCTTGGGGGACCGAAGTGGGCGCGTTTTGACCTGCTCCGCGTTTAAAGATGCAGTACGCCTTGGTCTGAAGTTCTCATGAAGTCTGCCGCCCCTTCATTTTGCAGTTTTACACACGACCTGAAAGTTTAGCTGGCATTCTTTCAAAACGTTTTTCTTTAATGGACTCAACTTGCTGTTACTTTGTCCCCCACTATTTGGGGTGGGGAAAGAGCTACTAGTGTGGGAAACAGAGAAAAAAACACGGATCATGTTTACTCGACGCTCTACATTCTCAACAAGCAAAAATGTGACTAAGAGTTTATTTTATATCAATTAGGCACATTGGATTAAAAAAACACTGAAAGCCTAATTTCTCGGCTAGAGAAACGGGTTACGTGTTGGTCTTTCATCTGGAAGAATGCGTGTGACCCATGAAATTTCGTCCTCTGGAATCGTCCTTCAACTCCGTGATCTTGGGCTTTTTAGAAGGTTAAATTGGTACACATATCAGATTCAGTCGAAGTCAGATATAACCATTAAAAAAAATTAAGTTGTAGTTGGATTCGCTTGTTTTGCTAAGGTTTAGGAATTAGGATAACCCCCTTTGAACGTTATATTACGCGTCTCACGTCCAGATGAACAACAGTAACGTTTTTATTTTGTGCGTTACTAAAGCACAAGTGCAGAAATCTGTGTTAACAAATTGAAGCACATATTTTGCTTTTTATAGAAGGTATGTGAGGTGATGTCAAACCAAAGGTTTTTTTTAAGATAATCATTTTCCACGTTCAAATAAACTGCAATGTTTCAATGCGTGAATTCAAGAAACAAACATTTGTAAATATGCAAATACAGATTAGAACCTAGATATTATAATTAAAAATAGAGAATTGCTTTTAATATGATGCACTTGATTTCTCTGCTGAGTGGAGAACCCTTTGAAACCGTGCTGCAAGAATGTACATTATAAATAAAAACAAAAAATACCGAAAAAAAAGACTTTAAAAATAATTGGTCAAATGATACTACTGTTACTTTTTTGTTTTGCTTTGTTACTTAGTGTTACCTGTAAGTTGTAACCTTTTTTATTGCTATGCAAAACGCCTACCGATAACACTGATTAAAATATTTTTGAACATGGATGGATTTACACCGTCGTTTTTCATTTGACAGTTTTTTCAAGCCAACAATGTGGAACTGGAGCTGTGCATGAGTGCATCTTGGTTTTAAAATATTATGCTAATATGTAACATACATAGCAGCATGGGAATCTGCCGTACAATTCTAAGGAAATGTACACAGACATACAAAAAATGTTATTACCAGAATTCGCATTAATGTTTCTCAAAAATGTCTGGAAGAAAATATCAAGTTACAGTAGTACTGCAATTTACTACGCTCTCGATTAGCAGTAACGTTAAATTATGCAGAGATGCTGACGCGCTTTTGTCATGAAAGTCAAGACATTAAAGGATTAGAATATATTGTCTATTCCAGCTAAGAGAAGCTGCCCTTTCCAACAGTAATTTGTTCATTTATTTCCACTGGGATGCTTCAAAACAAAAACGCCATTTGCAGAAGATTTGCACTCACAGCTGAGCCGGCGGAGTTTATGTAAAGGAAAAACAAAAGTAACTGTTCAACATCCGCTATTCATGGTCCATCTAATACAATTTGTTTCAATCAGATAATGGTATTCTACATTATTCTACAGTATTTCTTTATGTCAAATATCATGTGTCTGATCTGGGGAGTGTTGCAACCAAATCAGGCACCAGGCAATATTCAATACTTCATTGATAATACACTGATAAGTTCTGTAATAATCTATTGTTTTTCCTGTGCATGGATCTTTGCTTCTGGCTGAGGAATTTCCATCCAAAAGACTTAATCCAACAGGGAGAAAAGCAAGATCCTGACAAATACGGTGAAACCACAGATTTTGTGCTATGATAATAATATTTCAGTCTGCAAAAAGTCAGGCTGTTAAAAGGCTTCCTGGGAAGATGTAATGTTTTCGTCTGACCAAAACATACTGCGGGGATCATAATGAAGGCAGCACATGAAAGCAAAACAACTCTGGTCACTCCTACCAAGATGGGCCTTTATGTGCTGCTAATCCACTCTCTTTATCCTCCGGTCTGTTAGAAAGATTTACATTAGTAAATCACTGTCAGACCATTAAATTCCTTAAGAGAAAAAGTATCAGCATTTCCAAGTGAATGGGGATTACGACACACAGTGCCTGCTGCCCACTGACAATCATGGGAACAGAGCGCAGTCATAAATCCACGGTTATCTGGTTTAGACTGCCTGGTTCTCACGCCGCAGTCGCTCCTTTGATGTGGCCGTCGTAAAACACGGACACATGATCAGCGGCTTCGGAAACATCAAGTAGTAAGACTTGCAGAACGGTCTTAAACTGAACGCAGAGCCTAACGGGTGTGTAGGAGAAACTTTTTTTATTAATTAAAATGCAGAAGACCCTGCCTAGTTCAACTCACTATATGAGTGAAAGTCCAGCTAGCAGTTCTTAGAACGTGCTTACTTTCTTTGAAAAAATTAATGGATTGTTCACAGGACAGTTTTTCTTTTCATTGTATCTTCCGAGCTATGCATTTTTTTCTGGAACAGATTACTGTAGTTCTCTGATGCTTTTTTATATTTTTCTTAAATTAAGCTTTTTTCCTAACGTCATGTGACAAAGTGTTGATTTTTTCTTAATTATAGTTCAGCTATGGAGTAGGACTACTGTTGTTTTTATAACTTGATCGTGTGATGATAAGTGTTACAGTACAGTTACCGTCTGCCTTTTCTCTTGTAGGTTTTCAAGACATTTCACAGGTCATTACAGCTGTGTTTAACAATAGTGGGGAAGTGAAACTCTGGACAATACCCTGCAGAACCCCATAGATATTGTATTGTAACACAATTCCAGTTCCACCGAAGAGCCATGTACTGACCCCCTGACAGCAATATATTAACAATATAGGACTGTCACATAATAAATAATCACCTGGAAAACCCTGACATGGTTTAAACACTAGGGTTTATTACACAAATTATCATTAAGAAATCTATACATTATTATAACAGTAGGTGTAAGGAATTCAAAATACAATGACAATCACATTTTTTTGTTTTTTTGAGTCAGTAGGACTGGAGGTGATGATGCATTCCAAGAGTTAGGTTTCAAACATGCTCTGGAAGAAAACACTGTTAAAACATCTAGACAATCTACTTAACAGCAATATGTTCTTGGAAGTTATTGGAGTTTTTTTTTGTTAAAAAATGAAGAACGTTTGGAGAACATTTCACACTACTACTGCTAATAATAATATGAAAAAGATCGGAAAGAAGAACTAAATCATTTTATCACTAAATATATTAAAATCGTTTGTCTGGTTGAGTTATTTTTAATTAATCTAAAAGGTGTCTTTATGCTAGTTATTGTGAATTTAATTTACACTTAATTTTCATGTACAATATACTGGTCTGCATGGACATTTCTGACTGGATTTGTTTGCAAGAAATGGTGTAACCTAATTTTAACTCAGTTGTCACAACATACGCATTATATCTGTATAACAGAAGAAACAAGGAAAAATAATTCATGCCACAAATTCATGCCACAGTGAACTGAATCCATAGCACTGAGACTAGCACAGTACCCCAGTGCCAGGGAAACAACTATAATAGCTGACTTTTAAGTACAAATTGAGGCAGTTATAATGGGAACAGACCTCTGTGCCCAGAACTGGAATGCCCAGGAATCAAGTCCTCATGAAGAGAAGGTGAATAAGATCCATTCATCCATTTTCTAAACACTTCATCCAGTTCCAGGTCCAGGGGAGCAGGAGGAGTCTATCCCAGCAAGCAGCGGGTGCAAGGCAGGATGCACCCTGGATGGGATGCCAGGCCATCACAGGTGATGAACAGGTGATCACAGACAGGCACAGAAATACACAGACTCTCACCAGGGCCAATTTTCCCAGAATCCTATCAACATATCTGTACAGTATGTCCTTGGACCGTGGGAGGAAACCGAAGCACCCAGAAGAAACCCACAAAAACATGGGGTGAACATACAAACGCCAAGCAGATAGCACCCCAGGAAAGGATCCCAGGGCTCCAGCAATGCTTAACCCCTGCACCACAGTGCCACCTGTGAATAAGATCATCAGCAAAAAAGTGAAATAAGCATAAGGAGTGCAACACTGCATAAAGTCTCTGATAAAAGAATTTAGGTACAGGGTCTGTTAAGGGGTGATAGTGATCCGATATTATTTTTTTCTTCTTTGTTATCACCCAGACAACAAATAGGCCTCCACCTGCCTGTTAGATACTGGTATGGTAATTTAACAGTACTTTTAAAAAGTAATGAATAACCGAAAAGTTCAGGAATTATTATTTTATATCGGATTGCAACATTTCATTTGGATTGATATCTCGTTGGCCACATCATTATTTGCCAAAAGTATTTAATTAATACGGATTCCACACATTTATGAACACACCAATATACTGTATACTGTATGTGCAACATTGACGCACACGTACATATATGTGCAACAACAGTGACACCTGGTGATGACTGTTGTGATCATCACTTTGAAATTTATTTTGAAAATAATATGAAACATCATCGGTAGCGTTGAAATGATAAATCGCGTTATAAGAGCTCACTGTAATAATAGTTCACACAAAAAATGCCAATATTAAGATAAGTTACAAATCACAAAAGGACATAAGCTCATCTTGCTTATTTGGAAGGATTTTTATATCATAAACATGAATGTATTTTGTGCTTTGCAATCTAATTGATTTATCAAGTGTATTATAGCCCCGTGTTCAAGTTAACTCGGACAACCGGGCTGGTTAATTTAATGCTAAATTGCGAAAAGGTGAAGAGCTTCCTGGTACATGACCAATCACAGCGCAGCCACAAAAACGACCAATCACAGCGCCCAAAAAAAAGAAAGACCAATCACAGTGCCCGAAAAGAGACCAATCACAGCACCAATTAGAGCTCTGCGCTCCGCAGAGGCTGCTGGGAGCAGGAAGTCGATTTCGACCATGAGACGCTATGAACTATTATGAGCCTGTAGTAAATAAGGTTATTTAGTTTGATTTAAATCCAGTTCGTGTCAGTTGAATTTGAGTACCTTATGTCGTTTGTATTGGAGATGCAAGCGGCTGTTATGTTTAAGACGTAGGCAAAGCGGGCGAGACTGGAACAAAACAGTAAGGTTAATGGCTGAAGTAACGAGGACGTTCCGGTCCCCAGCTCGACACGGTTATGCAGTAGAAGTGTCCCCGTATTTTCCCAACAGGCTGGCCTGTGCCACGTCTCAGTATTACGGAATAGCAGGTGACCCTTCATTCAGTCGTCGTGATCGTGGTTATCCTGCATGAAGTTCGCTTAAGTGTGACCTGAAATGGTCAAAATGTACATTTCAAGCTTTTTTAAAATCACATTTTCATATTTATGTTAAAAAACAACTAACTCTTATATAGTAATTGAAGTTTTTTTAACAGAAAAATATGGAGTTTTTTAACAACCATCAATTCATCAGCTACAAAGCGGATGAGTTTATTTTCATTTTAGTTTAAAGTACATGTAAGGAAGAGTCATTTTAAAAATAAAAGTAATATTACTCAGATGTAAAAATAAATAATAAAGAAAATTATGATAGCATTTCTGAATCAGAAAGCTTGTCGTGTGTCCTAACCTCTGTATAGATCTGTTCACAGTACCATAAGTCCTTTAATATTGTAAACCAAAACCGAAAAGCACCCAGAAAAAAAGCATACTTTTTCTAATAGTTTCTAATACTGCCCCCTCAACGAAAAGCAAATCTTCACAGCTTACTTTTTTGTTTTGTGTTTGTTCAGGTTGTGGAACACTGCTGGTTCTGGAGCAGAATGACATTGGTATTTCTCTCATAAAGAGGTACATAAAACTACTTGTTGCCAAGACTGATTTATTACTATCATTGTTTTTTACTGATTTCTTTATATATGTATATGAAACAAAGACAACACTATTCATAAATAATTTCAATATCATCCTCCACAACGCAAAAAAAACACTGTGTTCCTGTTGAGAAAATAGGGACACACATCTTTGTGAGCACATGCTGAAAACCATCTATTTTTTATTTTGAATAAAAGTCTTTGTGTTGATCATATTGGTTCTGTTCAAGAGAGACGTCCCAGAGGTGTGGGGTACAGGTTTCATGATGGAAAGCTTGTGGGTTCAAACCCCAGGTGGGGACAATGATGTTGTACCCTAAGGCTTTCACTTAGCTCGAGTGAAATGCGCATCTGTATTAATGAGCACAAATTTAAGTCCGAGTAGGGACCTGCGTTAGCATGCCTAGTCTGCAAAGG